TCCCAGGAAGGGAGCTTGAGAGCCCAGAAATGGGTTCTGGATCCACCTGAGGAACTGCAGAAAACCAGAGCTCCCTGAAGCTATCCTGGAATGGCCCTGGGATCAAGTACCTCCTAGCCTAGTAGACAAGGACTTCTCAAAGTGAACCAGGCCTCCCAGAATCCTCTGGAGTGACCTGTGACACAGCAGGAAGATCCTTAAGAGGCAGCAAAGGAGATCACAAGTCCTATCCACCCTCGTAGCCAATATGGGGAAGATAATTAGGGAAGAAGTGGGCAGCCACGATTTCATGGAGAAGCAAGCAGGGTTCTAGAGCAACCACAGGCACAGGGCAGGAACCATGCCCAGAAGTCTCACAGCAAGGAACTAGACAGGGCAGTGGGTGTTTGTGCATGGTTCAAAGAAAAATGTTCGGGCAGGCCTGGTGGTGCAGGTCTGTAATCTCACCTACTTGAGAGTCTAAAAAAAAAAATCACAAGTTCAAGGCCTGTGTAGGCTACAGAGTGAACTGAAGGGCAGCCTGGGTACCTTAGGACACTGTATCTCAAGCAAAAAAAAAAAAAAAAAAAAAAAAGGTCTGGGGAATATAACTCAGTGATATGTGCAAGATGACACATATTCTCAGTACCACAAGATATTTTTTTAAAGTAGGATACATTAGGAAAGATGTTAATATTAACTTATGCAAACGTCCAAGTAACATTCTCATTTTGAATGAGAAATTTAAGTTTGATTTTTTTTTTGAGACAAGTTTTCTCTGTGTAACATTCCTGGCTGTCCTGGGACCAATCTGGCCTCAAACTCACAGACATCCATTTGCCTGGGATTAAAGGTGTGCAACACCACCTGGCTGCTTTTTTAAAAAATGTTTTTATTTAAATTAGAAACATGTATGCTTCAAATGTCAATCTCAGCTCCCTCTCCCACTCCTCATCCCTTGTCTCTCCACCAGCTACCCCTCCTCCCTGGCTGCTTTTTTTTTTAATGATTTATTTTATATGCATTGGTGTAAAGGTGTCGGATCCCCTGGAACTGGAGTTACAGAGAGTTGTGAGCTACCATGTGGGTGCTGGGAATTTAAGCCAGGTCTTCTGGGAGAGTAGCTAGTACTCTTAACTACTGAGCCATCTCTCTAGCCTGTGAGTTTGCTATTGACATTGAGTTTTACACTTCACAGGAACCAGGATGACTGGAGACATCTGATGTTCTTCTCCATTCTTCATTTACTCCAAAAGGCAAACCCTGAGGGCAAAAGACAGAAGCAAGGTCAGGAAGCAGGTCACCACAGCTGGCAGTGACAAGTGAAGCAGAATATGTACCTGTGTCTGTGGGGTCTCCTTGTGGTGGCTATGACGGGCTGGTGCAGGCTTCAGCTCTACTTGAGGAGGGCAATGGATCCTTAGTCTTCTCCCCAAGAGATGGACAGTAAGTGTATCCTGGAAAGCGATGCCAGGGACTTCCCATCCTGCACTCACATGGCACACAGACGCCTCTTCATCAGCTATTGATTTTATTTAGGACTTACATTAACATTAACCAAACATCACCAAATCACTTATTTTCACATACAAAATTGTATTTTTCTGAAAATCCACACTTTTGCTCCGTAAGCATGAGCATGTTTAGGATACTCATTCAGATGCTCCACAGGGTCGGCCAGGGACCATGCTTTTTGTTGTTTCTTTGTTTTTTAAGATAAGGTCTCAGCATGTAAGCTAGGCTGGCCTGAAACTCACTGCTAAGTCAGACTAGCTTTGTGCTTGCAATCTTCTTGCCTCACCCTCCTGAGGTCACCACAGCTCCTAATTGGTGACCACTTGTCAAAGCCCATAACGACAAGATCTAAAAGGTAAAGTTACGCTTGGACCTTCTTCGCCTTTGGTCTACAGACGTTTTTAGGCTTTACTTCTAGCTCATGTGTGTGGTTTTACTTCTAGTTCATGTGTGTGGTAGCTTCCGCCTGCATGTGTGTTTGTGCATCACTTGGGCATTGCTCAGAGCCCAGAAGAGGGTGGGAGATCCCCTTGGAGAAACGGACAGTTGTGAACTGCAGTTTGGGTGTTGAAAATTGAACCCGTGTTCTCTGGAAGAGCAACAGTGCTTCCGCCACCCCAAGACAGGGTTTCTCCGTGTGGTGTGGCTGGATGGAGTGTTGGGATTAACGGGATGCGCCACTGTGCCCAGCTGGCAGCTCAGCGGATGAGTCCAGCTCTTGATGCGTGAGCTATCTCTCCACTCCAGCTCACAAGCTTCCACCCATATGCTGTGATGTATCGCGCAGCAGAGGCGCTCCGACCTCCTCATACAGGAAAACAGGGCGAGGCAGCAGCCGCAGCCACGTGGCATACCAGTGGGTGCCAGTCTACACTGAAATATTCTGTTTGTTGGCTCCTGCCCTGTCACAGGTCAATGTGTCCATGTGTCCACTGACTGCTTCCCTAGTCCTAAACACAATGTCGGCAAATTCCATGCAGTTCAAGAAAATGACTGAGTCCGCAAACAACATCATTCTCTCTGAAGTAAAGTACCATGTGACACTGCACCTAACACCAACAGCACAATCAAAAACTGAGGTAATGGGGGAGGTCATAAAAAATACCTTTTTCTTTCTTTCTTTTTTTTTTCTTGAGACAGGACCTGTTGTAGTCATAGATAGCCTTGAACTCTGTATGTAGCTAACAACCTGACCTTTCTGCCTCCACCTTCCACGTGCTGGTGTTTTAGACACACACCAGGCCCAGGAGAGAATCTTAATATTAAATTACCTTTTACACTTCACATGCTTTCTGGCCTGGGGAAAGAACTCTAAGGCCTGCTTGGCACTCATGCTTGACAGAACAACTGTGCCACATAACCCTGAAGAGAGCTATGAGGAGCTAGCTACATTGGAGGCAGTTGCCATAGAGAACTACAACCAAAATGGTGGCTTAAAAACAAAGCAAAACAAACAAACAAAAACAACCCCCCAATAGTGAAAATGTGAGAAAGCAGGTATCTGTAAAAACTGCACGTACTCCTGTCCAGTGGAAAAACAATGCTTGTGGTTTAGTCAGGGGCTGCACCCATGCTGATTTGTTTAATTTTTTCCTTCATTTTTATTTTATGTGTATGAGTGTTTTGTCTCCATATATGTCTATATACTACATTGGTACAGTGCCCAGAGGTCAGGAAAGGGCCTGGATCCCTGCGAACTAGAGTTATAGATGATTGTGCTGCCATGTGATTGCTAGAAGTTGGACCCAGGTCCTCTGGAAGAGCAGCCAGTGGTCTAACCACTGAACATTCTCTCTAAATCACCCCTCCCCAAATATATATATATTTGTTTTTTCAAGACAGGGTTTCTCTGTCTTGTTTTGGAGCCTGTCCTGGAACTCACTCTGGAGACCACGATGGACTCGAACTCACAGAGATCCGCCTGCCTCTGCCTCCCGAGAGCTGGGATTAAAGGCATGCACCACCAATGCCAGGCCCCTATATTTATTTTAAAAGACAAGGTCTCATTATTTAACCTTGACTAGTCTGGGACTTGCTGCATATAACAGGGTGGCCTCAAACTCACAGAGATCCACCTGCCTCCACATTCTGAGTGCTGGGATTGAAGGCATGTTACTAGGTCAATTGTTTTGATATCAAGTGGATGAGGGTCTATAAAAATTTCCATCTCAGCAATTCTGATATAAACTGAAAACCAGTTCAACATACAAATGTAGGGCAGAGGACATCAGTGGTAGAAAATTTGCCTAGTATGTAGAGGGTCCGAGGTTCAATCCTCAACACCTTAAAAATAGGTACAAAACCTAAATTAATAAATAAAAAATACTTAAGGAGATCAGAAAAGCTCTAAGGACTCAGGAAATGAGTAAGAAAAACTTGAAAATCTGAAATTCAGAATGCTCTAAGACAAACTGCTCTGAAAAACTGGAAAAATAAAAGCAAGTAGCTTACAAAAATAGGAAAAACTCAAAACAGTAATTCAGTTCAATAATTAAAATAGAAAATTCTTAAAATGCAAACACCCAATGTTGTCTCATAAATTACTTTGAAAATGAGCTGATTATCACCAAGCATAGCAGCACACCGCTGTGACCCCTGTGATACGTGGGGTGTGGATGCGCAAGAATGAGTTCACGGAAAGCTGCTTCTACAGTTTGTTCAAGGCTAAACACAGCTACATGACACTGATTCTTGTCACAAACAAAACCAAAGTACAAACTGATTTTCTGAGGCCCCAAAGGCATGGGGTTTATATTTACAAAGTTATTTAGTTCAATGAACTGGCTTATATTAAGTTCAATATTTGTTTTAAAAACAAATGTTTAAATGCTGATAAAATATAAGTTCTTACACAATGCCATCAAATTTTGGCTTGTTGTTAACATCAAAAGCTAATAAATAATAGAAAACATTAATAAGTACTAAGTGGAAACACTTGGTGTCAGATAAGAAGAGTGGTAAGAATAAAAATATAAAGAAAATGACACCTTTTGGTAGAAAAGTCAGGAAAAAGGGAGATACTAAGTTTAAAGAACTGAGTGTGTTGTGGGTAAAAGCAAAGGGCTTTGCTCATGTGCAGTTGTGACAAAGCATCACTCTTCCTGAGCTGGACCCCCAGGATGGCCAGTAGGGGCCACACAAAACAAGAAATCTACTCCCATTCAGGAGCCTTGCAGGGTTCTGCACACATTGCCCAGTTAACTTAATCTGCTTCTGAAAGGCTTCTGAGTCCCAGTGTCAATGCATGGGTGAACATCATGATGGCATAGCCTGCAAAAGTCCTGGGGCCTTCTGGCTGGACACCAAACTCAAGAGTCCCAGAGTTAATGCAATGGGACAGTGCTGAGCTTAATGCCTATGAGCCCAACACTTAGGAGGCTGAGGCAGATCATGATTTTGAGGACAACCTAGGCTACAGAGTAACTTCCAGGCTAGCCTGGGCTACATAGGGAGTTCCAGACCAAATAGGCTATCAGGTACGGTTCTTGCCAGAAACAACAATAACAGAAATCAAGACGGTTTTAAATGAACACCAAAGTTGGAGGTACAGGCCTGGGACAGTGGGCTCAGAGGAATGGGTGGCAAGGGCTACAACACTCTGGAGGTGAGTAACAACAGTTCCTCCCAGTACCTCTTCCCTCTAGGGAGTCATGTCGACTTGTCCTAGAAGCCAACATGGTAGGAGAACTGATCCACTGTGCAGAGTCCAAAGTTCTCCTCGGGTTTACCAGGTAGCCCAAAGTTTCAGGGGGCTCCTTCCTGCCCTGCCTCTTGTGCCACTGTGGCCTGCTGAGGGCTGGTGTGAACGGATGGACAGGGAAGGGTGACCCTCCCACAGGAAAGTGAGTATCAGTGTGGACACATGCACTGGTGTCAAGCATGCTGACCGAGGCATGCCACACTCAGCATGGGGGAGCCAGGCAACTGTTCTTATGATTCAGACTTCTGTGGCCACAGCACAGCCATTTGGGCCACTGCTTCTTCTGTCTTCCTCTGTATGCCCAGACCCTCAGGACCAGCTGAGGGAGCTCACAGGGAAACGGAGCTTGCTGCAGTCCTCAGAGGCGGCACTTCCCTTGGCATCTACTGTGTTCCCGGCCAGCACAGGGCTCAAGGAGCACAGACATCCAGAGATTGGAAGGCCATAATGGGAGAAGGGGCAGCACGCAGAAAACATGGCACATGGGTAGCCATAGTGACAGCAGAGGGATCAGAAGGTCACACTGGTTTATCAGATGCTATGCTATGTGAACAGGTCTAGGGAACCACAGGCCTGAGAAGGCAGACTGAGACAAGCATGCCATGCTGGGGTTCAGGTGACCCTGGGCCTCAGTCACTACAGTGACAAGGAAAGGAAACACAGGAGTCACCAAGATTACAGAAGTTCAAGGAGGCTACAGGGGTGGACAGGATGAGGGCAAACAGCCTCACTGAGTCCAGTTATCTCTGAGGAGAACCCTGGAAATGGAGCTGAAATGGCCAACATGGTCAAAGCAAGTCTCTCCAGAGGCCACCTTCAGGTGTGGATTTGCAGTGAGGCGTGGTGAGAGCTTCAGGCTCTGCAGAAACAAAGACAAAAGAGCCCTCATCCCTTCTAGGACAGGAGGAGCTGCAAAGCTCCACACAAATCCTGCCTTTCCTGCAGCAGCCAAGGTAGCTCAGGGGAGCTTCAGAGTCTGCAGGGCCAGAGTGCCAGCAGGGGGCACCACAGACCCACATTTGGCAAGAACCATTTGCCCTTTGCCTACAATGCAGCCCTGGGCAATCCTGGGTACAAGGCAGCGGAGCCAGAACCCTGGGTGATGACAGACACTGGACAGGGCTGGGAGCATAATAACTTCTTGAGCTCAGAAGCAGGAGGGTTCAGGGGTCCTAGCCTAACAAGTCCAGCCAGTCCAAGCAGAGGGGCAACCAGTCCAAGGCGAGGCCAGACTTGGCTTGCAACACTGACATCTCCACTGCACACCAAGCATGCTTGCTTCATGGGGGGGGGGTATGTCATTCACTCCCTGCCCCCTCAAGAGGCAGCTTCCACCCCATCGCCCCACAGTGTGGCTCATCAGCACAGACCCATCACTGGGTGTCAGGGTCTTGGAAGCCCCAAGCCTCCACAGCTGAGATGAGGAAGTTCTCAGAGCAGAGAGGCTGGTTGTTGAAAGTGTCGCAGTGTCCAGTGCGGCCTCGGTTCAGATCCCCGTCAATGTAGAGTGCTTGGCCACCTCCTCCCCCTGTGGGATATGCAAGGGAACAGATGTCTTTCAGTTTTGACAACCACCCCATACCTAGACACCCACATCTCTGTCCTTGAAAGGTCTGCCAAACAGCAATCTAAGTAAAGAGATCCTTGGACAACAGAGTTTTAAAACCACAGGTTTACTGGGGCCATCTGTCCTGGCTAATGCTTGTTTGCTAGACCTTATCTCCCATCTTTCTTGCCTGGTCTACCCCCAACAACCTAGGGTCTTTTCCTTTGCTTAACTGAGATGTCTACTACGACCAGTCAACAAGGACTGGGCACAGGAGCTTTAACTGCCCTCAGTCCCACATGTCCTCTCCCCAGGCTGAAGTGAAGGGAACAGGTGCCCACCAATGATGAGGCAGTCATTGCCCCCAGCCATGAACATGGACTCAGTCTTGGAGGGCAGGTTGAAGTGCCGGGCAGCCAGGAAAGGTGAGAGCCGGTCAGCAGGGTCGGAAGAGACGGAGTGGCTGAGGAAGGAAGGAGCAGCTGCGGCTTCTGAGGACTTGAAGGATGTCGGCCTGGTCAACTCTGGGTGCTTGATGACCACCCACTCGTAACGCTGTACCTCGGGCTGCAGCTGGAGAGGAACAGGTGGCACGTGGCACCTCATTGGGCCTTCCAGCTCCAAAGCCACAGCCCATCTCCATCCCATGAGTCTGCTGTGGTGAGTCCCTAAGTGAGGTACTGTGGCAGTGGCACACACACCACAACAGCAGAGGGAGCCCTGGTAGCTCTGGGGTACTCATAGTCTAACAAGCAAAACCCAGAAATGAAAGTGAAACAAGGCTCATGGCCTGATGACTTCTGAACCCCTATAGTCAGCCTCTGATAGCCAGGGGTCAGACAATACCCTGGCCCAGGACAGACACTGGGCTTACCCTCAGTCTTGGGGGGCCAATTAAGTGCTCAGAATGTCTGAAGAGACAGGAACAGCTGAGGAACAAGGGAGTAGGCAGAGGGACCCCACACTCAGCCCAACTCACCCTAAAAACAAAACATTCTCCAGTTCCAAAGAAGCTCAGTTTGCCTCCAAACTTATTTCTCTCGCTCCAGTCTGTTGACAAGTAAGCGCCGCAAACCTAGGGAGGAAGGCTGGGGTGAGACTTTGTGTCCTCAGGAGGGTCCTCTCGTCCAGGCATGCTGCGTGAGACAAGTCCCAGCTTAGGGGTGTTGTACTTTGCATTCTCCCACCACTGAGGGCAAAAGGTTGTGGGAGAGGACTGAGTTTCGGGAAGAGTACCCTCTGGGTCGTTTTGCTTTCCCCTGGCTCTCCAGAATGAGAACAAGCTCCATGCTGGGACCATATCCACACTCAGGTCTTGGCATCAGCCCAGTAAACCAGGCTTCTCACCTCCTTTTGCGTGGTCTTGATGAGCAGGAGGGTGGGCTCGTGTCCTTCACACTGGAAATAGAACCTGGGGGCAGAGACCACATGTGCTACCCTGCATGCCCTCTCTGGCATCTCCTGTTAGCACTGACAACTGTCAGTCCCTAGGTCTAGGGTAGAGAAGTCTGGGGACAATGCTTTTTTCCCACCACCTCTGTCCACAGCAGCTAAGGACCTTGCAATGTCATTTTGGCCAGGTCAGGCTGCCCTGTATGACAAAGGAGAAGATTCACAGTGTATTCCCCTCAGGCAAAGCTGAGTACTGGAAGCCACAGGGAAGCAGGAACTAGAGAACCAGGAAAAGTTCAGCCCTGGCCATGTGGGGAAGGTGAGGCTTGCCACTGTGGTGCTCAGACGTCCCTGGGGGCTGGGAGAAGACAGGGTTTCTCTGTGAGCCTTGGGTATCCAGGCACTCACTTTGTAGACCAGTCTGGCTCTGCCTCTGAGCACTGGGATTAAAGGTGTGCACCACCACTGCCTGGGGAGAAGTCACAATTAACTAAGCCAAAATGCTTGTGTGGTTGCAGACAGGGGAGTTGGGGTTTTGGGAGGGTGTTCCAGATTTTGTGAACCATCATCTGATATTAACTGAATCTAACCAATCTAGCTTGGAGGACAGTGTGCCCCTGCTAGAATACCAGGTGCTTACACAGACAGAGCTCCCAAAAGGGGAACCTGGTCCAGGCTTGTGATGGACACTGTGGGTGAGGGCAGCAGGGAGGCCAGGCCAGCTGTCCGGTTGACAACTCTCTAACAATTCTGAGCTCCTATGATAGGAATTTTGATTTTTGTATTTTATGATACCCACATAGGACCCTCAGCTGTGGTGCAAACAGCAAAGACTTCCAAAGTCTGCATAGCCTGGGAATGACAGAAGGCCAGGAAAAGAGGCTTCTGATTCTTAGGCCTCACAGGATGAGGCAAGACTTTATCAGGGCCCTAGTTCAAAGACTCATTTCCACTAGTCCATAACGTCCTGAAGTGGAGTGCAGGATGTGACTCTCAAAGTCTCAGGGGTGCCTCACCTGGTTAAGCTGTACCCATGCTGCAGCGAGGAGAAGAGTAGGAGGGGTTGGCAGAGGGCAAAACGCTCGGGGATCCAGGACCAAATGTCTCTCATCTCCTTCACGCTGACGATCTCTGAGCGGAAGTTTTCTGCATGGACAGCCAAGTGCACAAACTGCCTGGGAAGAGTTGGGAGGGGTGAGACCCAGTGACCACAGTGCTGACTGCACCCCTACCCTAAGGCACCAGTTTCATTTTGGTACATAGCCTGGAAAGGATATCTCACCTACTCAGCTAGGTTTGCAGCCTGGCTCTTGGTGCCAGTTGGAAATGCGGTAAAATTATTCCTAGAAGCCCCACCTCCCATCTGATACATAGGAGAGTGCCCAGCCTTAGGGTATGGGGGACAAAAGCCCTTTTCTTTAAGAAATCAGGACAAATGAAGTAAGCTTCCAGAAAGGTAAGGCTGCAGAGCCAGCCAAGCACCAGCAGATCGCACAAGTGAGGCAGAAAGACGAACAGACAGACAGACACACAGACAGACAGTGCCTGTAATCAATCAGGCTAAGGCAGCAAGCAGAAGCCAGCCCAGGAGAGACAGGTGGGCCTTGGGAGACGGCCAGCAGCCAAGCCAGAGTTGGCTGGAAGAAAGGCAGGGCAGAGAGGCCAAGCATCGAGGTGTGGTTTCAGACCTACCTTTTAGAAAGTGAGACACTGAGAAACAGGAGGAAGCAACGACACGGAGAAGAAAAATAAAACAGACAAGGCAAGGTTAGTGGTGGGTACCGATCCCAGGTATGCCTTCCTTTGGGCCCAGGAGAAAGTGAACTCCATGCCAGTAGCCATGCCTATAGCAGTGTATAGTGTCAGGTGTTAAACACCCTGACTCTTCCCAACTCTGTTCCCCAGGGACAGGGAGACCATAATCAGCATTTCCAAAGAATGCCAGCCATGAAGCTTGGAGCTGTAAGGGCAGAGTAGGAGCTGTTCTGATGTGACCCCCTAGGAGGCCAGCCTGGCAACTGCTGGACCTTCTAACCCCAATAGCATCCAGCTTCCTTGTTTTCTTAAGGCCATAACTGCAAAGCCCTTCCTGCTTTCTAGTGCCCTTCTATTCACATGCGAGCATGTGGACAGACAGAAGGCTAGAATCAGACCAATGGCTGGCAGGACAAGCTTATGCTCAGACCTCAAGGATGCACTCCAGCTCCCCACTCACAGATGCCATATGCTCATGGCACAGGCACATGCATGCTCTCTCTCTCTCTGTCTCTGTCTCTGTCTCTCTCTCTCTCTCTCTCTCTCACACACACACACACACAGAGGCATGAGAACACATGCACATGATCCTGGGGCCCACCTACCTCTTCTGCTTGACAGTGATGCCCTTCTGCTTCAGTGCTTTCTCATTGGCCATTTGCAAGAGCTGGATCTCCTTTCGGGAAAACAGACGGATGGCAAAGGCCTTCTCCAGTAGCTTCTCAGGAGACACTGTCTTGGCAATGTCCTTGACAAATATGCGGATGTCTTGCTTTACATTGTCCGACTCAAGGGGCTGTCCTGCTCTCACCTTGTGGAAGAACTTGAGGATGGCCAGAGCGACTCGGTACAGTACCTTGTAACCTTCTACAAGGAAGACATCGAAAACTCGCGCAAAATAGTTGAGGGGCAGCTCCCCAAACAGCCATCGCTGCCAGTCAGAGTAGACCTGCAGGACATCCTCTGACACAGCCACCATCAGTTTGTGGGCTGCCTGGCAATACTTGTTCACCAGGTCCCCAAATGTCATGCAGGAGGACTCAAAGGCCAGGAAACTCTGGTCAATGAGCTTCTTGCTGGGGTCATTGCAGGCTAAGATGCGGCAGGCCTTTTCAAAACACTCAGCCTCGTCAATGCTGTAGTGCAGCAGCAGGGCCACCACAGCAGGCAGGGCAGGGCAGAAGGAGATGTCGGGGAACTGATTGGCGATACACAGGAGAATCTTGCGCACAGCCCCCTCGCCCCGCGTGTTCAGGCAGTAGGTGGGCACCTGAGTGTTGTCCACAAACTCAGGTAAGGGCAAGCTACTGCTGCTGTGCTTGCCCACAATCTTGCCCACGATATCACTGTACACGCTGGCATCAGGTGTGACTGTGCGGCAGGGGATGTCCCGGATCAGGCGCTGGTACACTTTGCCCCTCAGGGCGTGGCTCTGAGCCCAGTAGCCCTGACGTGCCAGTTGCTTCAACTCCTGTAGCTCGGTACAGTTCAGTTCCTTGGGTCCCAGGTCCTGGATGGATGCGTCCATCTTGTCCCTGTCCACAAAGCAGTTGTACCCTGGGGAGTCCATGGTGCCTGAGGTGCCTGGGAGGCAGGTCCCAGGCTGCCAGGAAGTAACTAACAGCAGCTAAATCTTGCAGCCCTGTCCTTGGGGGCTTTCTGTCAACCAGTCGGTCATCCTACACACCCTGGAGGATTGAAAACAATTTTAGTACAGGCATTGAAAGTTCACATTTTAAAGGCTTGGTTTTCTTTTTATTTTTCTAAAAAGGAGTAGGAAGAAAAATAATTGCTCTGAGAAGTCATCACTAACTTTGGAGAACAACTCCTTTTCACAGAGTTCATGTGTTACCAGAACAGGCCATGGGTTCCCAGTAATGAAAAGGTAGGGACAGGTTCCCAGTAATGCTTTGAAAGTCTGACTCTGGGGGCCAGAGAGATGGCTGGATGGTTAAGAGTGCTTTCTTCCCTTCCAGAGGACCGAGTTCATTTCCCAGCACCCAGTTCAGGCAGTTTAAAATAGTAACTCCAGTTCTAAGGGATCCAGTATCTCCTCTGGCCTCTGCAGGCATAGGCATAGCACTCATGTGGGGCATATACACCAGTGCAGAGAAACACTCATACATAAAATAACAAAATGAATCTTCTTCTTCTTCTTCTTTTTTTTTTTTTTTTTTTTGTTTCCAAGACAGGGTGTCTCTGTATTGTTTTGGAGCCTGTTCTGGAATTTACCCTGTAGACCAGGCTAGTCTTCAACTCACAGAGATCCGCCTGCCTCTGCCTCCTGAGTGCTGGGATTAAAGATGTGGGCCACCAACGCCCGGCTATCTTCTTTTTCTTTTATGGGTTTTCAAGAAAGGGTTTCTCTGTGTAGCCTTGGCTGTCCTGGAACTTGCTCTATAGACCAGGCTGGCCTCACAGAGATCTGCCTGCCTCTGCCTCCAGAGTACTAGGATTAAAGGTGTGGGCCACCACTGCCTGGTATAAATCCTCTTTTTAAAAAACATTTAAAATTTAAGCGTGGTGGTGGTGGTGGTGGTGATGGTGCAGCACACACCTTTAATCCCAGAACTCAGGAGGCAGAGGCAGGCAGATGTCTGGGAGTTTAAGGCCAGCCTGGTCTACAATAACCAGGATTGGCACAATGGAGATTAGGTAACAAACATGTAGAAGAATGCAAATTTTAAAATATGGGTTTAAGTTATAAGAGTTAGTTAGAAACAAGCCTAAGATAAGGCTGATCTTTCATAATTAATAATAAGCCTCTATATTTTGTGTTTTGTGAGCTGGCAGCCCAAAAGAAAAGTCTGTCTACACACCATGTGGGTGCTGAGACTGGAACCCAAGTCCTCTGGAACAGCAGCCAGTTCTCTTAAGCACTGAGCCATCTTTTCATCCCCCACCATCTTTAAAAAGTAGAAATACAGGGGCTGGAGAGATGGCTCAGCAGTTAAGAGCACTGGCTGCTCTTCCACGTGGCAGCTCATGACTGTCTGTAATTCCAGTTCCCGGGGATCCAACAGAGAGCCTCACAGAGTATATACAGGCAAAACACCAATACACATAAAATAAAAATATATTATTCTTAAAAATACAACAAATCTTTTTGAATTTAAATTAGAAACAATCTTATTTTATATATTAACCCCAGACAAATTGTTTAAGAGATAAAAACCCTGACCTTTCTAGACACAGCTGTTCACCTGGGGAGGTCTACTTAACTGCAGCCCAGGGGCCATCAGAAAAGGAACAAGGGTCAAGAGGAGCCTATGAGACAGTTCTTCCTCTCAGCCCTGCGGTATCAGTCAGGCTCCAACCAGCTGTGCTGAGGACATATGCATGCACTGCCTCACCATGCCGGATAGAATACCAGGCTAGCACTGCACCCCTGAGCTGCATCAGCCCATGGAGATCTGTGGGCAGCTCTTACCTTCCTCTAACTGCCTGCGTAAGAGCTAAGTTCCAGACAGGTAATTCCAGGGGAAGCCACCAGCAAGGTAAAAAATGGAGCCTGAGGTGTAATTCTGTAGTGCAAGGGTTGAGGAACAAGAGGAAGGTGCCACAATTTCAAAACTAGACATTTCTGGCTCCAAGTAAATTACAGCCAGAAGTTTTAGGGGAGATGATATTATCTCATTACATGGCAGCTGTCGTGATTCAGTTGCACATAAAAGAAGTGGGTGAGCAGAACAGGATGTAATGCACATGTCTGAAATATCAGAACTTTGGAGGAAGGGGAGGCAGGAGGATCATGAGTTCAAAGCCTGCCTGGACTACAAAGGAAGTTCAAGACTGAGTTATATAGTGAGACCCTACCTTAAACAAATAAACGAACAGGGTTTGGAGATATCAGCAGTTGAGCAAGGGCTGGGCTGGAGCTAAGTTGTAGAGCACTTGTCTAGTATGAATGAGGCCTAAGGTTTGGCCTCCAGCCCAGAAAACAAAGGACAGAGGAAGGGAGAGAAGGGAAGAGGGCAGTGGGTGGGAGAGGAAGGGAGGGGAGGGGAGGGAAAAACCATAAGGAAGAGGAGACGGTAGTAGAGGGAAAAGGTGAAGGATAAAATATACTAAGAGACCATGCACAGTGGGCTATAACAGCCCATTGATTTGGGTTCTAAAGTTTCCCCCAGAGACTGCTGTCCGGAGCAAACACGCCCCATATTCATTCATGCACACTAGGCTGACTGTTAAGTTTTCAGGCATCTATACTGGCCTGCCCTTGGGGTTCTGACAGGATGCGCTCTCAGCTGCAGTCACTAAGAGTAGCACCTGTGCATATTCACTGTGTTCACTTTTAAAGGGCCCTGCCCTCCTCCCTTCCTCCCTCCCCCCTCTCTGGTCGCCCCCATTCTCTTCTGTCTCTCTTTGTCCCACTTTCCTCTCTCCTGCCGAGGCTGGTCTCCCCCCTCCCCTTTCCCCATTTATGATCCCTTTCCTTAATTAAAAAAAAATCCCTCTGATTGAACATTGTCACATGGTGTCGTTCTCTCTCTTGAGCTGCTTTTCTTAAATTACAACACGGACCTTTCTGATCTGGATGGTAGGACTGTCCAACAACGTCACAGGGGTCGGCTTCTGTGAGTTTAGGTAAATATCCACACCACTCTGATTTCTCTTGCATCTAGAAAATTCAACTAGAAAATAAACAGAAAAAGAAAATGCTATTGAGTTAAAAGAACTTTATTTGTTTTTGTTTTTTCTAGACAGAGTTTCTTTGTGTAGCTTTGGCTATCCTGGAACACTCTGTAGATCTGCTTGCCTCTGCCTCATGTGCTTTAAAAACTGGAGTTGCCCAAATGACCTCTGTCCCCTGGTCTCCTTTTATTTTATTTTTTAAAGATTTATTTATTTATTATATATACAGTGTTCTCTCTGTATGTATCCCTGAAGACCAGAAGAGCGCACCAGATCTTATTACAGATGGCTGTAAGCCACCATGTGGTTGCTGGGAACTGAACTCAGAACCTCTGGAAGAGCAGCCAGTGCTCTTAACCTCTGAGCCATCTGTCTAGCCCCTATTTTATTTTTTAAAATTTACTTTATATTCATTGGTGTGAGGGTGTCAGATCTCCTGGAATTGGAATTACAGACAGTTGTGAGCTGCCATGTGGGGTGCTGGGAATTGAACCCGGGTCCTCTGGAAGAACAGTCAGTGCTCTTAACCACTGAGGCATCTGCCCAGCCCCTGCCCTCCTTTTATATACAGGATTTTGCTGTAATCATTTGGCGGGCCATCATGCCAGGCAGAAACATAATGTAATGTGTGGGACTAAGAAAACACCTTGATTTTATGTTCTTCTCTCTGTGGTAAATATATGCAAAATACCATTTTAAGCATTTTAAAAATACTTGTGTGTGGGTGTGTTGGACAGCACACTTGTTGGAGATGAGAAGACAGCCTTGGGTGTTGGTCCCTACCTTCCACCTCATTTGAGACAGGGTGTCTTGTTTACTAATGCGCACACCAGGCTGGCTGCTGCGAGCTTAAGGTAGTCTTCTGCCTCCCAACCAAACCCTGGCTGCTGCATTAGGGCTGGAACTACAGATGCGTGCTTGAGTCCAGCTTTACATGAGCTCTGGTGATCTGAACTCAGTCCTCATGCTTGTACACAAAACAATCCATCCAATGAGCTGTCTCCTTAGCTTCCATTTTCATCAATTTTAAGACACTTCAAGGCTGGAGCAATGGCTCAGTGGTTAAGGGTACTGGCTGTTCTTCCAGAGCACCCATGGTTAATGCCTAGCACCCACATGGTGGTTTACAACCATCTGTAATTCTAGTCCCAGGGACTCTGATTCCCACTTCTGGCCTCCACAGGCATCAGGCACACATGGGTTACACAGACACACATGCAGGAAAGAGACACATAAAACACAAAGAAGAAAAAGATACTTTAGTGGTGTCAGGTGTCTGGACCATTGCCACTATCTCCAGAACTGTCCCATCTTCCACAGTGAAACTCTCTCCTAGCTTCCCCCTAACCCTAGGGGTGGCCTCACCACATTTTTTTTTCCCTTCAAGACAGGGTTTCTCTGTTTAACAGCCCTAGCCATTCAGGAACTCGTACTGCAGACCAGGATGGCCTTGATTTTATTTTTATTTATTTATTTATTTTTGGTTTTTTGAGACAGGGTTTCTCTGTGTTGTTTTGGAGGCTGTCTTGGAACTTGCTCTGTAGACCAGGCTGGCCTTGAACTCAAGAGATCTGCCTGCCTCTGCCTCAAGAGATCCGCCTGCCTCTACTGGCCTTGATTTTAAGAGATCAGCCTGCTTCTGCCCCCAGAGTGGTGGGATTAAAGGCATATGCCACCACCATCATTGCCCAGCACGTTTTTTCCCCTTAAAATGACAGTCTGACTATGTAACACACACTCACCTTGAAGCTGTGATCACCCTGCCATAGCCTCCCGAGTTGTGAAATTACACCTGTGCATCACCATACCCTGGTCCAGAACTGTCCTCCACTTAAAAAGAAAAAGGGCCAGGCATGGTGGCACACACCTTTAATCCCAGCACTCGGGAGGCAGAGGAAGACAGATCTCTGTAAGTTCAAGGCCAGCCTGTTCTACATAGGGAATTTCGAGGCAGGGAGGGGGGAAAGGAGGGAGGGAGGGAGGGAAAGAAGAGAAAAGAAAAGAGACCTGATTCTTTTGATTCCTTTTATATTTATTCCTTTATGTTTATGAGTGTTCGCCAGAAAAGGGCATTGGATCCCCTGGAACTGGAATTACAGTCAGCCTTGAGCCACCATGTGGGTGCTGGGATTGAAACTACGCCTTCTGAAAGAGCAGCAAATGCTCTTAATTGGTAAGCCATCTCTTCAGTCCCCATTGATAAGTCTTTACAGGCGTTTCCTCATATTAATCATTAATTAAAACAAGGGTTTCTGGGGTTGAGGGTGTAGCTAAGTGGTACAATACTTAGCCATGATTGAGGCCTTGAGTTCAATGTCTGGCACCACCCACACACACACACACACACACACACACACACACACACACACACACACACACACACACACTGCTGCAAGCAATTATAACAATATTAAATTGATTTTAATGTGTTTCTTGCTTATAGTGGGGCCAGTCCTGCTGCCTGACTGGCAGTATGGGGATCCCTCTTGCACTGCTCTGAAGCAACAGGCCCACCTATCTGCTTCCTCTCAGCCATGCCAGGGTCACACTGCACAATTTCTCACATCTGAGCCATTTTTAGACTTCAGTTCTAAGCTTAAAACCCAACAGGGCCACCACAGGCCCATTCTCTCTGGGTGACAAGGACCTGTTTCCCCTGTGTGAAATAAAAACATTTATAAATAGAACAGGAGTTTAGCTGAGCACACCAACCTGCTCTAGGTTGGACATTAAACAGAAAAGTGATGGAGGCACTGTTCAAAGAACTCCTTCAGCAGGACCAGATACAGAGGGCTAATGCTATAGCAAGAGGTTCAGGGAACGTGCCAGAACCAGAGGGATCTCTCCTCCTCACATCCCACTCAAGGGGAACTATATGTTACTGGGGTTAGGCACATGAGACTTTCTCCAGGCATCTGCAAAATGGCCTCAGCTGCCTTGTAATTCCACAGGACCTGATATCTTTTTTTGACCTCTAAGGGGCAATAGGCGTGCAGATAGTGCATATATATATATATATACACATGCAGACAAAACACTCATAACTATAAAATAAAGCAAAATTTAAAAATCTTTTAAAAAAGCTATGGGTGGGTACAAATATACACGCAGGCAAAACACTCATATACATAAAATAAAATAAAAACTACACCAATTAAAAAAAGAATGCATAATCACAAAAGTTCAGATAAGACCAAATTACAGAGCAAAACTTGTGAGTTCTGTTCAAACCATCACTCTAGTCCTAGGTCTCTTGAACTGAAAATTTTCTATCACTATTGCTTTGGTGTATGGCCCTTAAAACCTTTTATTACATTTATACACATAATACAACTGAGTCATATCTTCTATAGACAGGTCATTCAGATGGGGAAGTAAGGAAGGCAGGAAATTCATTAAAAACATAAACCAGGTTTTTATACTCACACTTTGGAGAATTAAAATCGTTTATTTATTCATTCATTCTTTGGGGTTTTTGTTTGTTTGGTTGGTTGGTTTTTGTTGTTTTTTTTTTTTTTTCTGAGACAGGGTTTCTCTGTGTAGCCCTGGCTGTCCTGGAACTCACTCTGTAGCCCAGGCTGGCCTTGAACTCAGAAATCCACCTGCCTCTGCCTCCTGAGTGATGGGATTAAAGTTCTTTTTAAAAACAAATTTGTGTGTGTGTGTGTGTGTGTGTGTGTGTGTGTGTGTGTGTGTGTGTTTTGAGACAGGGCCTCTATATGTAGCCCTGAACTCACTATGCAGGGTGACACAGGACATCTTGATGTCCTGCCTGGGCAGTGTGGACTGGTCACACAGTAGCACAGATCCTGCACAGTTGCTGCCACTGTGAGCAGTTCTCGAGAAGCCACGTTCCCTCAGCCTGAGGGTTAGGGGTCGTGACTTGTCACCACATACACTGTATTGCCCCAAAGTCCCTCTCTGCATCCTCAAGTTTTCAACAGAGGCCATCTTTGGCTGGCCCCTCTCCTACAGTTCCATGTATTTGGAATGAAAAGCCCTCTATTGCTTGTGACCTCAGTGCTGGGCCTCACCAGTAATTCCAAGAAAGCAGGAGAAATGCTACTTGACACCAGTTGGACTCATGGAGCAATAGCTGATGATGATTTCAGACAGCAGGGACTCCACATAGTGGGTCTACAGGGTGATGGATACTTTACTGAAGGTCCACGGTGTGAACACATCCCAGGACATGATGTGTGAACTGGAATAATGAACTGCCACAGCTGGACCCTCAGAAGAGCGAGCCCCAAGGAGGTACAGTCAACACCAGGAGCAGAGAGGCCAGCAGGGCACCCGGGCTGAGAACTATGGGAAACGGGGAAGGGCATGAACTAATAGAGGTTTCTGGTGTGAGGGTTACAGGAAGTACTCCATCAACATGACAGGTCAGATGCCTCAGCTTTTTCTTCCGGGGCTGCATTCAGAGTCTTGGGCCTGACACTCGATTCTTAGAAGCCTCTGGGAGGAACACACCAATGGCCACTCCTGAGGAGGCACTGTTCTCCCACAGACCATGAGGCCGGAGCTTGAGTTCTGGTGGCAGCCCCCTACAACTGCCTCTTTCAACTGCCCACTTCCCCTTCCTGCCCTGAGCTGCTTCTTTCTCCACTTCACAGGGTTCCCCTAACTTTTACAGCCCTTTCTCTACCAGTATGGTGACTATTTGAAAGTTCAAGGTACCTGGAGAGGGAAAGGAAGTATGTCTTTTAAAGAAAACAAAAAACATAAGCGTTAAGAAATGCTTTCTAGTTCGCCTAACTAGACTGGTTAGGACTGATGACATGTTCCAGGTGATGCCTACAACCTGTTCCTATGAATGTGTTCTCTGCCCACAGTGCTGCCCTGGGTCTGCCAAGGATAAGACCAGAGGATCAGGGGAGCCATAGATGGCTCGTTGACAATGGCTTGACTGTCCCGTCACCCTTTCAGGCAGATCTCTGGACAGGAGATAGGGTTGGTGGTTTAAATAAGAACAGGCCCCATAAACTCACGTTTG